GCCCCCGTCTGCTGGCTGGCTTCAAAGGAAAACCACATGAACACCATTTTGCGGAACAAACAAAAACATGTTGCCTCGTTTCAAAGGAAACAACCAACAACCCGTCCGTTCTTCTTTCGGAGCCAATTTACACCAAATTAAAACCAAAGCCATTTTTTGGGGGGGTCACCCCCAACCCCCCCCCCCAACCCCACCCCCCAACCCCACCCCCCCCCCCCAACAAACAAATAAACAACAACAACCCTCGTCCGTGTTTTTTTCCTTCGGAGCTGCAGGAAGGCGAAGAGGGACCCCAAGATCGACAGCGCCGCCACGATGTGCGGCACGATGTGCTGCACGGTGAGCTTCTGCTTCTCCTCGGTCGGGACGTCCGGAACGGAAACCCAAAAAGCGAAAGGTCAACCAAAATCCCATCAGTTTGCAAGACATGTTTTTGGAGCTAGCCCTTTTTGGATGGTTTGAAAGGGACTTCGAAAAGGAAAACCACCGGTTTGGGGAAGGGGGGGGGGCGAAAACTCAGTTGTTCAGTGACCCGGGAAAAAAGGGAACCCTTTTCGGGGAAGATCATTTTTAGTGGGGCCACCCCAAAAAAAAAGGGAAATAATTGGTGCCACTGAACAACTGAGGAAAGGTCACCCATGAGATTTGTGAATTATAATATTTCACCATCCTCAAATCAGGTGGTTGGGGGGGCTATTCCCCACGTAAACCACCATTTGGGGTGAGGTTATGTGAGGTCGTGTGAGGTCGCTATAATTCACCCGGATGAGATTGAACAAGGATTCCTCTAAAGAACGCCGGGTTTGGTAGGTTCCCTGGTACTCTGGAGTGTACATTCCCAAATTATTGGTTCAAAGTTGTTCGCGCAGGAATTGGTTAGAATACACACCACGACATCATCATGAAAGGGTTTCCACAGCCCCGAGTGGGGAGAATGTGAGCTAAACTTGCTCCTAACAGGTTTGTTTTCAAATAGGCGATGGAATCTAAATCTCAAGCTTTTGTTTTGCTTGCCCACGGAAAAGAAAAAACCAAAGGCATAGCTTTCTGAAGCCCATGTTCAGCGTTGCATGTGGCTATGGTGGACTCTGCGGTGTTGAAATAGCTAAATTGCACACAAGGAGGTGCCCATTGTGATAACCAGCCCATGTTTTGCAGTCCAAAAACCAGAGCCCCGGACCTGGTTGGCTTGTTGAGGGGGACCAAACGGACATTGGACGTTTAGAGGGTTCCAACTAAGCTCGGATGAACGTGAGTGAACAGTCTCATGGCTTTTGTGAATTGTGATTTTAGGCAGCAAGACCACTTATTAAGTGTTCCGAACAGCAACGAATTCCTAGTCTGAAAACACATGTTAAGTGAGAGAGTCAACTTGCAATTGTCAGATCCCAAGCTAATAGAAGAAATGCAGCGCCAGGAAAGAAACCACCCCATGGGCAAAGTTGGTCGCAACCGCCTCCCCTCCCGCCTGGCAGGTGAGGTTTGCTAGAAATTGCCAGAAACAAAACGTCCAGAAACTGGGGAAGTGAGGGGGGAGGTTGAAGAATAGGCGTCCCTGAGAGGTCGGCCATCCAGGCTTCCCCTCCGAACAGCTCTAAGGTCCGGGCAAAGAGAAGTCATGCAACCTTCCCTGGTTGAGAAAAAGATAGTGAACATCAATATGGAAGTTATTGTTGAGAAAAGGTCATAAGCCACTTCGAGAAATTATTGTTAAACAAACCATCATTATCTTTTTTCTCAGCAATAACGGAGCTCATGAAGTGGGCTTTGGAAGACAGTCCACTTGAAAAGGTCCCATGCCAGTTCCATGACTGTCAGAAAGAGGACAAACAACTTAACGTCAAAAGGGGCTTGCAAAGAAAACAGCTCACTTCCGATCGAGTGGATGGCCCAAAGACAGTAACCAAACTTCTTGCTTACCACTAAAATTGTCCAAACCCCAAAAGTATACAGTCCAGGAACTCAGGAAGCGAGAAAAAGTTGGCAACCCACCCGTTTTCCGGTAATGGCCACAGTCTCCAGCAGCATTTGGGGCACTGTCTGCTGCAGCAACATCAGGGTGCCCGCACGGAGTTCCGCACGGCCCAGGCAGTTGTTCTGATTCACGTCCACTTGTTGGAAGGTGAGGGCGATCCTCAAGCAAGCTTCGTCCCAAGCAATGCCCGGCGATGCCCCTCGAGCGGTTTCCTTTGGCCAAAAAACGGCACTCAGACTGTCCAGACCTGACAAGGCCATATGAAGTACCTTCCGCCCCCCTCCCACCAGGCTCAAGAGGCATGCGAATCCAGTGATTTCCAGTAGTTTCCTCCCCTCCGTCTTATTGCAAAGCAAGCACGGTATTAAGGACGTAACTTGCCGGGGAAAAGGTTCCAGGGCTCGGGAGCTCGGGATCGGATGTGAGAAAACGCCCTGTTCCAGGATCGATATCAGGCGTCCCAACGAGCAGTTCACCTTGCCGCTCTCTTCCTTTTGAAGGCCGGCAAGGTTTTGGATACCTACCTAGAGTCTCTATGACCCTTAAAAAATGGGTCCATGATCCCTTACTTTTGGGCAATGACCCCATTTTTAAAGGGTCATGGAGACTCTACGTACAAACCCAAAAAACTGAATGGGCTAGTTTTGCCCCATTCAAAGAAGTGGAAGTCACCAGATGGATTGTTTGGGATGTTTGAGGGGTGCAAAACACGACTCGTCCCACACAAAAACACAACTCCTGTTCTGGTGACTAGTGACTGAAATGATCACGTGCATTTTCATGCCTGAGTTGCAAGAGCAAGACAAGCAAGGCAGCATATAGCCCTTGTGTAATACCTCCACAACTTAACCCGTACCCAGTCGCCCAATGACACTGGTAGAAAAAGCATTGGGACCCTTTTCATGATCAACTTCCTTTGATTCCCAACTCAGGAAACATAAAGAGATGTGGGTAGAATCCAGTGAAGAGCTTGGCGCACCTTCCACTCCGCAGCATTTTGGATCCCAACGCCTGAGTTGGGTTGTGATGGCTGAAACATTCGCCTTTCCATTCGACTCATCTGTTCACTTCAGCGGGGGTAGCGTTTCTCAGGCGGGCTCCTTTGTTTTTGCTGGCTTTAAAGAGGAAGCCAAAAGGAAAACCAACAAACAACAAAATGGATTGGGAGGGCGGAAGCCACTGAGCTGAATCAGCATGCTTGCTCTAGGGGTTGATTCCTTTTCCATTCTTTTCAACCATCCTTCTTTTCAAAAACCGGATCCGTTTCCCCTGGTTGTTTCATGGTTTCCTGAAAAGATTCGGATCCCTGGGTTCAGAATGGACATGGAAGCTACCCTTAGAGTTGCAAGTTCTTTCCCAAGCCGCTCGGTTCCAATCCGGCGAAATTAGCTCAAGGGGTTGGGTCCCCAACCGCCTCGGTAAATTTTCCCCACGAACAGAAGGACCGTCAACGCCCCAAAACGGGTTCTGGTCATACGGTGGATGGACAAAATCCTCTTAGGCACCACCGTTCAGAAACCCCGGAATGAATGATTCCCCTGTAAATACCAACAAACAATGGGTTCAACCATGGTTTCCAAGCGGTGCGAAATGGATTTCGTTCATCCACAGTAGGTGTTCCTTTAGGGAAATAGATGGGTTTCCCTGGTAGATGATGAGACCACCAGGAAAAACATTCTTGGAGTCGAAGCCCATCGATTTGTCGACCAAAACAACCATCAACCCCCAAGCAGGGCTCTGGTGTTGGCTACGTGTTTTTGGGCCCCAGAACCCCTCCACTTCCTGGACTCCGTTGACCGGGGTCATTGGGTCGCGCCCGACAAGTCCCCCTCCAGTTTGGTGGGTCCAGTAAAAATGGAACCCCCGAAACGGTCTTGCTTTCTTGCTTTTTTCGTTTGCTTGAGTCCCCTGGAGAAAAAGCAAAAACAAAAACAAAAAAAAACATATTTCTAGTAGCCCATAGGTTCCAATTTATAAACAGGGGGGGAACTAGAAATAACACATATTCTTAACTGTGCTCAAATCCCCTGCTAAAGCAAACAACTCTCGCCCTGCCCTCAGATCCCCTGCTAAAAGTTTAGCTTTTAGTGGGTTAAATGGAGACTACCACTAAACCCTAAAAGCCTAACAGGCTAAGGAACCGGACGGCTGGGGGCGACCAAGAACTTGTGGATTAAATTCTGACACCTCACTCTAAGCGTCTGCTGATTCTCAATCTTGATGCCCAGGGCGAAGATGAAGTTCCGGAAGGTGGCGAACGGCAGGCCAGGCCGGCCGATCTTTTCCTCGTACCCATCCTACTCCCCAAACTCAAAATAACAACTCAGAGCCCGGAGAAAAAAGGGAGGGGGGGAGGGAAAAACACAGTCTTTTGGTATACATCCTACTCCCCAAACTCAAAATTTCAACGGAGCCCGAAAAAAACACGGCATTTTGGTATAGACAGATCTACTTATCTACTTTCTGGTGAAGCCTTTTCGAGCTCAACAGCAGGTAAGCAAGCAATCCAAGCTTGCGAAGGCCAAGGCCATCTGGCTTCTGTGGCGGTCTGTTTTTAGGACAGGAAGAAAAGAGCCAACAAAAAAAACATTCACCACTATAAGGACTATATCTGACAAACCCAGCAAGAACACTTTACATGCCCCTATCAACATCACCCGCCAAAGAGAAACTCAGTAACACTTGGTAACCCAAAAAAGTCTTGCTTCAAACACCAACATAGGAAGCTATTGGACATCCTGTGCTAACCCAGAACACAAAGGCTCTGAAGAAAGGGCAAAAGAAGCGAAACCCGTTTTGGGGTCGATTCCGGTTTTGGTAACCCGCCAACAAGGGAGGTTGCTTATAACTGAAGAACTGGGATGTGAATGGATCGTACGAAACTGGGCCTCTGTATGTGTCCACTAGAATGGCTGTGGCTCAAAAAACCGGTACCCAGGTAAGTGGAAACATGGACCAAACCTGCGTAACCCCTCCTGTTTAATCTTGAGCCACACCCAAATGGCCTTCTGAAAAGGGAAAACGCCAGCGAAGCAAATCGAATACCATATACAATAGTGCCCCTTTACACATCACGCATTCAAACAGAGGCGACTTAACACACCCAGGTGAACGCCCAAATGGCTTCTCAACCAGATGACCAACGGGGCCGTGGTTGGGCCCCGCTTTCCTTGGTCAATGCTTGGTTGCTGTTGATCCCTCTGCAAAAAGTTTATCTTTTTGTGGGTTTAGTGGAACACCCCTCAATAAATTTCCGAAAAAGTTAAAGTCTAAAGATCCAACCCAATAACAGTAAAGAATGCTCAGCGCCACACCTAGTGAAACTCTATTCCACCGTGATTTTGATATAAAAAAACAAAAAACAAAAATGGTGCGAAATGCTGCCGAACGTTGATCCAGGTTTACCGGCAACCTGCCAAACCCCCTGAACACAAAGGCGTCACTGGATGTCCGCTTCAAAAGTTGCAATTTACTGGTGGGCACTTTTGGAGGTTCCAACAAGGGACATTCCGGAATCCCTGCCCTAGATGTTCCGAGTGTCCGTCAACTTTGCTTTACCCTCCCAACTAATTTATGCAACCGAACATCCCTTCAGGAACGGGGTTGGAGAGCTTTGTCAGGATGTTAGTCAGTTATTTCAATCACTTGCCCCAAGGGGGATTGGATGTGGTTGGGGGCCTACCGCGTTTTCTTGACAGCTTCCCCTTTTTGTAGGGCCTCCCTCCCGTCTTCCAAACGTTTGTCCTGCTGACCGTCAGGACATTTGAACATGTGCGAAAGGGTTGACTGACATGCTCAAAGGACCCGGTCCGGGTAGAAACTTGTAACGGGAACACAAAGTAGAGGCAATACCAGCTGGGTGTGGCTCAAAATGAAACAACAGGAGCAAACCGCAGGTTTTGGTACCCATGTTTCCCCTTTCCAGGGTAACCCATTTTGGAATTCCGGTGTTTTGAGCCACAGATCTCAACCCGCTGTGCTCACTTGCCCTTGTCGAACCTTGAAACAAAAGGTTAGCCAATCTTGGAACCTCCAACAGGGATCCTTACATTCACCTGAACATTGCAACTTGTACATGGTGGTTTCAACCTGTATTTTGGTGTTGAAAAAGCAACATGTTTCAAATGAATGCAAAATGTATCTTTTAAGGAGCCCTGTCCAAATATGGACCAAATCAGGAAAACCAGACCTTTCAGCTCGATTCGCTGAAACAGACCACGGCCTGAGGGTCTTTTGGGCGTTTGGATTCGTATCCGAGTCTCAATGGCGTCGTAGACAAAGTCCAAAGGCATAAGCCCCGTCTCCGGGTCCAAGTGGGCCTCGTAGATGCCCTTGAGCGCGTCCATGGACACTACCACCTGGGCAACAACAAACACCTCGAGTCGCGGAGGACCCGGGGAAAATACAGGTGTAAGGCCTGTGCGACAGGATTGCAACCAGCAAATACCAGCGGTGAAGAAACACAAAGCGTCAGAGTCCTGTATTCAGGGCCGAAAGAACGCGACCTTCGGCCATGTTTCCAGAGGCTCTTTCACCTTCGTCATGTCTTTTGTTTGTCTTTTCGGTGCCCCCCTTTTGTTTTTTTCGGCGGGCAACCTCCTCTTCCCGCACCCCCCCCGTCGTTTTTGGTATTGTTTGGTTCCTCCGGTCTTTTTGGTCCAAAAACGAAGCGAAAACGAAGCGGCCATGGCGATCATCGCCTCCCCCGTCGATCTTTTTTGGCTTTGTGTTGTTCCTCCTGTCTTTTTGGTCCAAAAAAAACCAGAGAGAACAAAGAAGCGTCTTTTTGGTCCAACAAAACAACGGAGAGAAAAAAGCAAAAAAAAAAAAAGAAGCGGCAGTGGCGATCGCGAGAGAATTGCCTGGCAGGTGGACATGAGGGTGTTGTAGAAGGGCGTGAACCACACCTTGGTTGCTGCAACGACCCCCCAAAGCAAAAAGTTGTTCCTCACTTGTTGGGGGCTTCGTGGAAAACACCCCTCAATGAATTTCAACCAAAAGTGATCAACCACTTGTTGTGGGGTTTCGTGGGGAAAACACCAACTTTAAATTTCCTCCAAAGATCCGTGTTTTCACCACTTTTTGGGGGGTTTCGTGGGGAAAACGCCCCTCAAGTAATGGGTTCAAGTCAGATCCGTTGCGTCAAGAGGCCCCGCCCAAAGGGATGCCGCTGGCCGCCATGGCCGCGAGGTTGGGCTTCTGCTTCTTCAGGTCCTCGTCCACCTCCTGGAGGCTGGGGGGGGGGGTGGGGGGTGGCGGGGGGGGGGGGGGGGGGTTGGGGGGGCTGGAGGTGGCATGTCCAATCAGTTCACTCGTTTTGGAGACCCCTTTGGGAAGCGCCTGGGGCTGAGCTGGAGGTGGCGAAAACCTCTTGAGGGTTCGGGTGGTGGTGGGCTGGAGGCGGCCCTTTTGTTTGCTGGATTCTGAATGGTAACACGAACAAAAACAATTCAGGGGCTCCTTTAAGGCGGATGTTGGCTTTAGAGGAGCTCGGGATTTGGGGCTTTGGGATATGGAACCGGAAAAATGGGAAAACACAACACCATAAATTATGTGGTTGGAGTAATCTCCTGAAGAATGCCGAGTGTCCAAGCAGCACACTGCCGGTAAAAAATGTTAGTGAACATAGAGATGCCGGACATTTGTTCACATGAAATTAGCGGGCATTGGCCTAGCTGTTCTCAAAGTTTACTTGTTTCTGGTAGTGGTGGACACATGTGCACGCAATGCGCGCTATTGTCTACGCGCAAGGTTGCTGACATCAAAGCAATGGACACATCTAACAATGTAAACTCCACTTTGGATGATTGCCTCACAGCGTAACCACCTGAGCGTGAATCACACAGCCATAGTTGAGTTCTGCCTCATGGCACATGCTCAATATACTGCGTATGCAATAACGAGTCACAACGGGATCTGGGAAACCATCTGCTAAAAAAACGGAGAAGCAACACGACCAGATCGGGATTCAGGACCGCTCAAATTGCCAGGCGCTGATTGTGATGACAGGAAGGAGGATGCAACACTTGATTGTACCACATCCAACATCTATAACGCAACCTATAGCTCAATTCCCTCCGGCACTGTACTTTCGCCCTTACAAAAGAGTGGGGGGTCCACTCCAGAAGGATTCTATACTTTCAACACCTCAGCTTTTGCACCCGTGCTGGGTTGATCCCAAACAAAGGGCAGCTCCAACACACTCTTTGGTCCGCCTTTGAGTTTTGCCTTTGGGACTGTTAGGTCCTTAATAATCAAGGCCAGCTGGATCTGCCAGAGGTTCCCAAAACCTTGCGAGCTTACCGAAAGCGATTTTACTGCAGGCCTGACAAGATAAGCGCCACAAGCGGGGCATACGGTTTCATGCAACGGTCGCGAATCGGTCGCAACTTGAAGTGTGAATCAGCTCCCCGCTTGCAGGCTTTGGAGCTTTCCGTAGCACCTTTGTTTCGGCGGAAGAAGCCATGTTTCACATGGTTGCAAAATGTATCTTTTAAGAAGCCCTGCCAAAAGCCTAACCTTTAAGCCTTCACCCAAAAAACCACCAAAACAACTTAATTGGAGCCGGATGCCTGGGGTTAAGGCAAGCGACCCCAGCGACTCAGATGCGCAAACCGATCCGCGATCCGCGATCCGCGCCTGGCGCTTGCCCGCCACCACGATGTGGCGCTGGAGATGCTTCCAGCAGTCCGACAGCAGCACCAGGCCCCGCACCGAAATGATCCTGACTCCAAAAAACACGGCACATGGACGATGTCTCCCCAAACAAAAAAGGAGAAGCCCCAAACAAGGGGGAACGCTTGCACATGGAGGAACAAAAACAAGCCCCCCCCCCCACCCCAAACAAAAATCATATAAAATAAGGATAAGCAACACAAAGGGGTTTAAACCCGAAAGAAAACAAAACAACACGTGCATGATGTTTGGTACACGTGTGTGGGTGTGTGCTTGGGTCTTGCGTGGCAACTGCATGTGAGACTCACCAAACCTGGACCTAATTCAGTATGAGTCTGGTCTCCCAATATTCATACATCATCACCCAAAGCAAATCAATGCAAATTTTCAAATGGCCCAACAGGACTACCCCAATCGCGAATATGCGGACCCCTGTTTGGGGAAAACACTTCAGCAGGGACTAGTTGAAAGCGCTTTCTGGATGGATGGAAAGAAGATTTCCGGTAGTCATCCCACATCTTCCCGTAACAAACACTTTCACCCATCCCCAGGGGGGTCTTTTTGCGTGAGAAAATTGGCGACCCCCTCAACAAGGAATGCTTCACTACAAGGGGGTCGATCATTTTTCTACCAAAGGTGGCCAAAAGAATCCCCTGCCCATCCCTCCGCCGCAGTCCCTGCTTTGACTTTCTGAGGGTTTACAAATGCGTCAGAAGTCAGCGCAATCCAAACGCAACCATCCCCCAACTCTCCCCCCCCCATCACCGACACTCAAGTCTGGGCCAACCCCCCGGTCTACCCAACATGTTGCTTGGGTAAGATTTGGCTGTGCCTCAAAAAACCGGTACCAAAATGGAACCCTGGTAAGTGGAACCATGGACCAAAACCCGCGTAACCCCCCCCTGTTTAATTCTGAGCCACAGCCATTTGAGGCTATGCCAACTCGGACGATCAGTGCCTACAGCTTGTTCTGCTCGCCGCCCCAGTGATTATTCCGGGCCCGGTCCCTTGCAACAAGCTGGCAGTTTTTTCACGCTTTACAGGCTGGGCGTTGGGATCATTTCATGTACATGATACATGATACATGACATGTATTACTCCAGCTGTATCAAAGGTCCGTAGCTCCAAATCAGATGCCCTGAAGCATCCCAATGCTCACTGCCGATCGAGGGGATTGGCCAAAAGCAGTCTGAACTCGTTATTTACCACAAAAAAACGGCCCCAAACCCAACAAAAGTGACCTAAAGTCCGAAACGGAACTCAAGGAGCTAGAATGACAGCTTCACCATTTCAAGGTGGCGACCTGACCGGTTCTAAAATGGGTGATACACCTACCCCAAAATGGGATCCCATTGGTATTGCCCCACAGTCCGGTTTGATTTTGGTCCGTGGCTCCGCTCGCCCCAGCGCAGCATCAAAGGACAGGTCTTCTCCAGCTTGTCGTCCCACAGGCCTCTGGTCGATCCCACTTGCAAAAAGCGAAGCAAAGTGAAGCTTGCGAGTTGAAAGGAAAAAACAAACAAAGGTCATGGGCCCCCCACATGGCTGTGGGTCAAAGCCCAGGAAACCCTGGTGAACATCAAGATAGGCGGCAAATGGATGTTCATCCACCCCAAAATGGAGCCATAGGTTATGCCCCATGGCCAAATAAATAGGGCTCGATTCATCCGGGGTCAACATCAAGTTGTTCAAGACCGCACTTACAGGTAAGGCAACCAGGCGAAGTAAAGGGCAAACAGTTGCGCAACCCCCAGTAAAACAAAGGCAAGCTAAGTCTGGCAACTGTCGATGACCTCGTCCGGCAGATTGATCTGTGCGGAGGTCAGGAAGTCATAGAACATGGACTTGGACACGAAGGGCGTGTGGTTCCTTGGAACACGGCCAGTCATGCCCCCTTGTGGCCGGGCTGCGAATGGATGTGAGCCCAAAAAGTATTCCTTCTACACCACCAAAAGTTGGCAGATAGGGGTCACCCGGGTTTGAACAATTCAGGGTGCATTTGATAGGAAGGAAGGGCAGCAAAACTATCAATGGACTCCAAAGTTGCCTCCCCTCAATTTCTGGAGCATGTATGGGACAGGTAGCAAGACCAGGTCGTGCGCCCAACACGGGTGCCAATTTTTGTTGACACCCCGACGGCCTCCTTTTGTTAAGGGGCTGGTGCCTGTCGGCACATTTCAAGCCCTTTCAGAGTCTCGGAGGCCGGATGCTAAGGACACCAGCAAACCCCCCTCTGCTGTTTGCCTTTTTGCCCCAACCGCTGAAAGTTTTGTTTGGGCTTTGCGATCAGCTCCGGATGCTTCTCCACACCCCCCCCCCCCCCGATGTTGCTGTTTGCTTCTTGCCCCATGAAAGATTCTTGGGGCTCGATCCGGAGCTCCGAAACGCGGCTTTGGGCTGAAATTTCGAAAGGGCTCCGAGAAGTTGCTGTCGGTCCCGTTGTTTTTTTCTTCCGCTTTTTTGTTTTTGTTTTGGGGGGATCCCCTATATTCAATAACGTTTGCTGTTGATCCCATGTTTTGTGTTTTTTTGTTTTCTCTTTATTTGCTTTTTTTGGGGGGATCCCCTTTTGTTCAACAACATTCATAGTCTAACGGGAGTTTAGGGCTTGGAGGGGTGGAAATCCTATGACACGTGCGGAAACCCGGCGGAAGAAAGCACGTATGGTTTCCCCTGAAACCAAAAACCAGGTCCGGGCATGTCTGAGGACCCGGGTCTGTCTCAAGAGCTAGTGGGTCGGTCTCAAGATAGGGTAACCCCTTTCGGGCTGGCTGGAAGGGCTTCAGCCAAAAGACAACCAAGTACCAGGAATCGGTGCCTAATCTTGAGACACCCCGATTCGTGGGATTCGTGGAAACTTGCTGGTATAGGTAGGAAATGATCGTTCCGGGTGTTGGGAATGAACCAAGGGGTTGCCAACTAAACAAAAGGGATGGTTTATATACTTGGTTGACGTTGGAACGGGAGCAACAATAAAAGTGTTAGCAGTTAAGTGGTTGGATTTCAATCACTAAACCACAATAAGCAAAAATGGTAAGAAATGTTCCCCAGCAACAACACCCATGTTTACCGCCAAAATAGCTGGCACCACCCAAACCCCTGGTGACCCAAACCCCTGGTGACCATGTAGGGGTCATTCCAATTCTCATTCCCCTTGAGAACCAGACAGAAAAAGGGGGATCTCCTTTGTGGGACCCGGAGCTCTGGGACTGTGGGATCTTCAGCCGAAGGCTCAGCACCTTCAGCAGGTTCTCCCTCACCTTGGGTCGATCTAGCAGCTGTGTTTTTCCGGCTTTTTCTTCGCACTTTTGATTTCTAGGTCCTCCAGATTTGAGAGGATCGAATAAGGGTACCACCTTTTTGTGTAGTCTATTTTAGTAGGGGAACCCTCCCAACCAAAAAAGGGGAGAGAAGGGCACTACTGGGGGACCTAGATGTCATAAATTCAAGTCACGCAAAACGTCAAGACCAAGTGCACGACCCCAGTGGCCAAGGCAAAAGGAGGGCATCCTTGTTGTTGCTCGATTTTACAGGGAAGACCTCCATTTGCTGGTTTGTCCCCTGAAAAGTACACAGATGTCCACTAGTGATAGATTCCCTTTAAAACCAACAGGGGGAAGATAAGCCATACACTCTCATTGCAAAGGGGACTTTAAGCAAATAAAACGAACAGGGGGCAATAAAAAACCAACAAGGTAATTGGACAATCAGCAAGTAATAACAATAGAAGCAAAACATTTCCCAACCAAAGAGACCAAGGGCAGCGCGCCAAGCGACGGTCACCGGATTGGCAAAGCCCCACTCCCAGTCGCTCACCGCCCGGCGTTTCAGCGTGTCCGGGTCGTTCTCCGCGGTGCGGCTGTGCAGTGGGTGGAGCGAGTCCTGGGGGCGGTGGGTCCTTCAGAAGGGACGTGATAAACCCACCATTTCTATAGGTCCTCCAGTAGAGAGGTTAGAATATAAGGGTACCTTTGTTTTGCCGAAGTCTATTTTAGGGGAACCTTCCCCAAAATTAAAGGACCGGATAACCCCACATGCTATGTTTTTCCCAAGGATGTGAGTTCAAATGTCCACACACATGTACCGTGCGCCCCTTGTATGGATGCGATTACAGAGCACCCAGATGCACAGAATGCAGCGCCTGCCACGACTTCGGCAACGGCATCCGCAAAGTGCTGCGCCTGCCACGATTTCGCAACGGCATCGCCAAAGTGCTGCGCCTGCCACGATTTCGCACACCCCCCGCCGCGCGCGCGACAACATCCTGTCCCTCTAGACAGCTGCCGAATGCGACCCCTGCCACACAAACACACACCCAGATGCACAGAATGCTGCGCCTGCCACGACTTCGGCAACGGCATCGCCAAAGTGCTGCGCCTGCCACGATTTCGCAACGGCATCGCCAAAGTGCTGCGCCTGCCACGATTTCGCACGCCCCCCGCCGCGCGCGCGACAACATCCTGTCCCTCTAGACAGCTGCCGAATGCGACCCCTGCCACACAAACACACACCCAGATGCACAGAATGCTGCGCCTGCCACGACTTCGGCAACGGCATCGCCAAAGTGCTGCGCCTGCCACGATTTCGCAACGGCATCGCCAAAGTGCTGCGCCTGCCACGATTTCGCACACCCCCCGCCGCGCGCGCGACAACATCCTGTCCCTCTAGACAGCTGCCGAATGCGACCCCTGCCACACAAACACACACCCAGATGCACAGAATGCTGCGCCTGCCACGACTTCGGCAACGGCGTCCGCAAAGTGCTGCGCCTGCCACGATTTCGCAACGGCATCGCCAAAGTGCTGCGCCTGCCACGATTTCGCACACCCCCCGCCGCGCGCGCGACAACATCCTGTCCCTCTAGACAGCTGCCGAATGCGACCCCTGCCACACAAACACACACCCAGATGCACAGAATGCTGCGCCTGCCACGACTTCGGCAACGGCATCGCCAAAGTGCTGCGCCTGCCACGATTTCGCAACGGCATCGCCAAAGTGCTGCGCCTGCCACGATTTCGCACGCCCCCCGCCGCGCGCGCGACAACATCCTGTCCCTCTAGACAGCTGCCGAATGCGACCCCTGCCACACAAACACACACCCAGATGCACAGAATGCTGCGCCTGCCACGACTTCGGCAACGGCATCGCCAAAGTGCTGCGCCTGCCACGATTTCGCAACGGCATCGCCAAAGTGCTGCGCCTGCCACGATTTCGCACACCCCCCGCCGCGCGCGCGACAACATCCTGTCCCTCTAGACAGCTGCCGAATGCGACCCCTGCCACACAAACACACACCCAGATGCACAGAATGCTGCGCCTGCCACGACTTCGGCAACGGCATCGCCAAAGTGCTGCGCCTGCCACGATTTCGCAACGGCATCGCCAAAGTGCTGCGCCTGCCACGATTTCGCACACCCCCCGCCGCGCGCGCGACAACATCCTGTCCCTCTAGACAGCTGCCGAATGCGACCCCTGCCACACAAACACACACCCAGATGCACAGAATGCTGCGCCTGCCACGACTTCGGCAACGGCATCGCCAAAGTGCTGCGCCTGCCACGATTTCGCAACGGCATCGCCAAAGTGCTGCGCCTGCCACGATTTCGCACGCCCCCCGCCGCGCGCGCGACAACATCCTGTCCCTCTAGACAGCTGCCGAATGCGACCCCTGCCACACAAACACACACCCAGATGCACAGAATGCTGCGCCTGCCACGACTTCGGCAACGGCATCGCCAAAGTGCTGCGCCTGCCACGATTTCGCAACGGCATCGCCAAAGTGCTGCGCCTGCCACGATTTCGCACACCCCCCGCCGCGCGCGCGACAACATCCTGTCCCTCTAGACAGCTGCCGCGAGTCAGCGAGTGTGAGTGAGTGAGTGAGCGAGTGAGTGAGTGAGTGAGTGAATGAGAGTGAGTGAATGAGAGTGAGTGTGAGTGAGTGAGTGTGAGTGAGCGTGAGTGAGTGAGTGAGTGAGTGTGAGTGAGTGTGAGTGAGTGAGTGTGAGTGAGTGTGAGTGACTGAGTGTGAGTGAGTGAGTGTGAGTGAGTGTGAGTGAGTGTGAGTGACTGAGTGTGAGTGAGTGAGTGTGAGTGAGTGAGTGTGAGTTGAGTGAGTGTAAGTGAGTGAGAGTGAGTGAGTGAGTGAGTGAGTGAGTGAGACGGAGACGAGCGGGAGGAGGAGACGCGGCGCGCGGACGACGAGCGGAAAAAGTAAGAACCCCACACAAAGATGTGGGGAAAAAGGGGAGAGGAGGGCACTACTGCGAGACCTAGATTTGCTTCACTGCAGCCCCTGGAACAAACTCAACATGAAATAGATCCGGAAACCCAGAAAGGCCACTGCAAATGGTTTTGAGACCTCCAAAGCGGCCTGAGAGCTAAGAGAGACGGTGCTTCTACCACGGCAATTGAACATAGCTCTAAGGCTTGTCGATCAATATGCAGTTGCTCGCCTTCAGCATGCCTCAAACCCAACATGGAGCCAGGAAAAGTGCCCTCTGGGCATGTCTCTGATCAGACCGCATCCTGCCGGGCGCCAACCCAGTCTTGTCCGAAAGCTTTTAAGTCCACTGGGTAAGCCAACCTAGGTCCTCCAGCAGAGAGGCTAGAATAAGGGCACCCTTTTTGCAGTAGTCTATTTTAGTAGGAAAACCCTCCCCAAAAAGGGGTGAGACAGGGCACTACTTCTAGGGGTACCTTCCCCATTCTTTCCAGCATCAAAAACCCTGGGGAAACAGACGTTTGTTTAAAGAACGATGGCTAAAAAGAATGGAAAAGGAATCAACCCCTAGACTACTGGGAGAACGTGCAACTCCGTGGCAGCCGTGGCAGGACCGAAATTTTTCGGCGCCTGGGGCAGGAAGGCGCTCGCCTTTCGTCGCTCGATCTCCGCCACCCGCTCCTGAGCCACGAGACTGGGTGAAATGAACTTCTGCCCCAAACTACGGTGGATGCTTGAAATCGCATTCCAGAAATTGCACCACGAAATGACACCATGGCAATGAAACTAGAACGTTTGTTGGTATTTGCAGGGGAATCGAATCATTCCAGGGATTCTTAGGTGGTGCGAAATGGATCTCGTCCATCCACTGTATGGTCAAAGCACCCAACTTCTAGTTGAGAACTTAGGTGCTCCAACTACTTTCTTTGGGAGCGAACTTGTTTCCTTTAGCGCCATCTAGTGGCTGATTGCAGCATTTCAAGTGGCCCAACATGCAGATATGGTCCCTGTATTTCCATAGAACCTGACTGGCGGGTTCCACTCGACACAACACGGGAGGGATACTTGGCCTTGGATATGAAGGGCCTGGACTGATTTCGAGGTTTGCAAGCACATTTGGGGGTCCCTTGATTTACTTCGGTGGGTCAATAATCATTCAATACACCCAATGAAGAACTGCAGATTTCAGCGCTTAGGTTGAGCTATCCCCAGAGTCACTTGTTGTATGCAATGGACAATGCTCATGGGGCGATCTGTTCCCCGAATAAACGCATTTATCTCATCCCGCTTTCACGACAGCAATTGACGGATAATAGTCTAGGTCCTCCAGTAGAGAGGTTAGAATGAGGGTACCCTTTTTTCTGTCGTCTATTTTAGTAGGGGAACCCTCCCCCAAAAAATGGGTAAAAAGGCACTACTGGAGAACCTAGTAGTGATCATGGCTCACACAAAGCCACGTGAGCTTGGTTTTCCTTGGCAATTGTGTGAGCAATTCCCCAACAGCGACTGCAATGGGACCTTAGCCAACAGGCTTGGGGCTTGGCACTGCATCACAGTGATGGAACTCCCCGTTGGATGTTTTCTTTTACAGTAAATGGCAATTTCATGGGGTTTCGGCGGTAGGTTCGCGGAACATGGCAGAACCCAAAGGGAAACCGCAACTCAGATGCCCATCGGCCACGCGAAAAAAGGGGCATCCTTTTTTGGTTGGTGAGATTAAAGGAAAACCCTTCCGCAAAAAAAGGGAAAGAGGGCGCCATCGGGCACCAAAGATAACAAGCGAACAACTTTTTCGAAGCCACCCGCTGGGGGTGGCAGAAACGAACCCGGAAGCAGAAACCCGTCCTTCTGCTCCAGCTGCTGTGCTGCCGTCTGCTGCGTCTCGTCCGAGTCCAAAGCCGCGAAGACCTGAAGACCCAAGCCCTGGGTGGTTTCTTGCGCCAAGCCCGGGGTGGGTCCGTTTTCAGGGAGCCCCCCCATGAACAAAAAACAGAAAGACGTGTATTTCAAGGACCTCTCCCCCCAAGAAAAGAAAGACCCCCCCATGAAAAACAACGAAACACATGTCCCCGCGCCCTCAAAAAAGAAAGAAGACAAACAAGTGGTATCCCCAAAAGCCCCAAACCCCCCCAAAGCCTATCTGGGCAGAGACCCCATAGCTCTCAGCTGTTGGGGAAAACGATGGTGTTCCGGTTTGTTTCCCCTTAAATCAGCCCCAACAAGGGTACCCTCAAAAAGAGACACACGCAGGTGTTGTTTGGTGCTTCTCGGTGTAGTTGTTGGTTGGTGCTTTCCCTGAAGCAACGCTATCCAATTGTACGTGCCCTTGTTACCATGTTAGGGATACACCCAACAATTTGTTGCAGGCACTTGTTACATGCCCTCAAACCAGGGCATCTAACGGTGTAAGTGGTTGTTTGGTTTGCTTGTTGCTTGCTTCTTTCTGCTACTCGGCAGAAGAATTCAAGTCTCAAAACAGTCCCCAGTTGGTCAAACTGGGCCATCTCAAGCAATCCGTTGTAAGAGGGCCATCTGACCGGCGGTTTTCCTACCAGCCCGTCTTTGACCGGGGTAGCAGAGGGCTGCAAGGATGCATTGATCATACAGGGGGATCTCATCATTCCAGGAGTTCTTGAGTGGTGCGAAACGGATTTCGCAACCATTCACAGTATTTTGAGACACGCCCTTTGGGTTGAAAGCCGGCCTCCTTGTAGCAGTCGTCCAGCCGCAGCTTCATCACTACCGAGCCCACCGGCTCCCGCGTAATCGGCGTCAGTAGCTGCACCGTCCTCGGCCGTGCGTCTTCGGACCGTCTCGCTCACTTCCCGAGCGGACGGCCCAAAGCAAAATCCAAACTTCAAATTTGCCATTAAAATGGTTCCCAAAAATGTTTTGTTTGATGCAAATTTATCATGAAATCCAAACTTTTAGAATGGTTTTCCCAAAAACTAGAAAGTGCAAGAACTGAGGAAGTGAGCTGACTAAAAGTGGACCAACATTGGAAAACTGAAAGGTAAGGTCGGTTTTGGACAAGCGAGTAAGGGCCGGTTCTGGTGTCTGTTTAAGCAAGTTATCTATTTTAGGGGGATCTGAGAACTCGGGTTCTCTCTAAGTTAAATCTCAGTGAACTCGCTTTACAAGGAGAAGCTATCTAAATTCCTCTCATTTAAATTGCAATTGAAGCTGGGATTTCTTTTGTAACCCCGTCCTTGTTTGCTGTTCATTCAAAACGTGAAAAGTCCGCCTGACTGGGAAAGGGTGTTGTTGAAGCATAGTACAAATGACTGACACCAGAGTGGACGCTGTGCAAGCAGAGGCTTGGTAGGAGATGGTTTTGAAGCAGACTAGCCAGATGATGCAGAACCAAGTTGACATGCTATTGTCCTTGAAAATCACCTTGTAGAAAACCGAACTTCGAAATCTCAGTCTCTTTAAAACCACCTCAGTAAGGCATGGCTATAACACCAAACCGCGCCAGTTCGGTTGGTTGGCGTGTGCCCATTCACGGCACCTTGGCCCACGCCGCAGCCAGTCAGGCTGCAGGCGCAGCAAGAAGAACTGCGCTGCAGTAGCGGTGGAAGCCTGGGCAAATGAAGCCACGCAGCGGCCGCTGAGGCAGCCGCTGGCCAGCATGCGCATGTAATGACATTGACGCTGCAGGAAGCCGTGACAGCAGTTCCTCGTTGGCGACCCGGCCCCTTTTGCGGCAGCCACGCCCCCGAGCCTTTCGGCAGATATAGCGATGGAGCAGCCGTAGGCAGCTGCTGGTGGATATGACATTGACTTTGCGTCTGCGCCAGTTCCGCTGGGCTCGATCCTTTTAGTCAACAGTTGCTCTGACGCTCGTCGAAACAGCTCATGGTCACTCCCAACCCTGAACCAAGAATGTTGCCTCCTGCCAGCTCCTCCAGAAGGAGCTTCCGACTTTGGGAACTCGACAGGAATTACTGCGACTGCAACAGGCACGCTAAGAAGTGTGGCAGCGGGAGCGACTGAGGTGTGTATTTGGGTAAGCAGAACTTGGTTGACGTACATTTTAGATGTTAGCAGTTCAGTGGGGATTTCCCACTAAACCACAATAAGCAAAACTGTAAAATGTTTCCCAACAACAACCATGAAAAGGCTTTTGCAGAGCATGGCCGGCGATTGGCCTTGCCGAAGCCATGTTGTGGGGCAGGATGGGCCCGCTGTGGCCGTCTCACTCTGGGCTTCCTAGGCCCGTAGCAGTGGAGCATTTTGGGGAGTGAGAAGAACCCACGGAAGGTGACTTCTGCGGCAGAAAAACGCATGCGCTCCGTTTTTTTGGCAGAAGATGGCCTCGTAAGACGCATGGCCGAGCAATTCCATTCCTGCGGAAAGGCACAGAATTGGAGGGGCCGAAGATGCACATCCTGCACCTGCAGGACGTCTTTGGGCATCAGCGTCGATTCTTGCCCACTCAGCTTGTTTTAGGCAAAGGAGCCCCAAGCAGCGTCGGGCCTTTCTTTCTTTTGGAGGTGAGTCATGTCTCCCAAAAAACAAGAGCTGCAGCCTTTGCATCCGCAGGTGTGCCAGCTCCAGAGGCCCACTCCCTCGCGTCAGAAAAGCGCCAGTTGGTCCTGTGACCATGTCATCACGAAGTTGCGTCGTGCCTTCAATGAGGTCCTGGGCCCGACCTCAGTCGGCCTTCTCCAGGGCAGTCTGCCCCCAAAATGCAATGCGACTGGTTGATGTCGCCACGTTGTCGACGTGGCGAGCATATTGAGGGCAATTTCCTCGCGCAGAAAGTCCCACGCATTCAGAGGGGCCTGCAAGGCTGGGCTCAAGTCATTGCCGACGCCCAGAGGTTGTGAAGAGCCTTGGTGCATGTGAACGTGCCCACTCAGACCAGCATATTTGGCAGCACCACCCGGGGCTGCCACCGCAATGGTGGATTTTGCTCCAGGACCTTTCGGTGGCACATTTCCCCAGTAGAACGCACTTAAGCGACCCGAGGGCTCATTTAAAAAAGATCCGTGTGATGAAATAGTTCTACACGAAGCTATAATTTCTACTAGACCTCTTTCCTTACTAAATTCCATTTATTGTTACACACAAACATGAACAACTTGGCAAAGGAATCCAACCTTAAAATCTAGATTGAGATTAAAACATGGTTGACATCTGCTGAAAATCCTCTTTAGAAAGGAGACCCCTATTTGAATTCTAACTGAAATCAGAAATTCTAGCGGAATTCGGCCCTTGCTGAGTTTTATGGTAAAAGAAATACACAATCCTCGTGGACAGGGAGCCACCATGGAGTTCCAAATTTTTAAATTTAACTGGTAATTCTAAAGAACTCGTCTAAAAACTGGAAAGGACATTCCAGTCAAAACGTGGACAATAAATTTGTTATTTTAAATTCTATTTGAAGATCGAACAGATCATGCTGGAAATGAAATTACCGGAAATTTATGTTGAAAGAATAATTCAAATTCGCTTATCTAAAATCTAGTTGAAGGTGTAACTTCTGCTAGAATCCTGTCTTTAATAAACATTCACTCAAATCATGAAACCATCCTCCTGACTTACAAAGGATCAGTATTGTTGAAGCATAGTATTCAGGTGATTGATACCGGAGTGAATGCAGCCTTGAGAGGTGCCAAGTGAATCAAATTGATAGAAGGTGGTGTTGAAGCAGGACGCAGAACCAAGTTGACATGCTATCGAAAAACACTGCTTTGTAGAAACCTAGCCTGTAGTCAGAAGGCTTTCCATCGGTACTGGTTATTTTGACTGTTTTTTGTGGGGTGATCAAGTCTGCAACTGGGGCTGCTTCCCTTTCACCTACCACTGAAGAGAGGTGACTTTGACAATTGTAAAACAATGGGGCCAAAGGTATCACATCCTGCACCACCTCAGAACCCTTGAAACAAGGATTCCCCTGAAAAAACAAACAGCCAACAATGGTTTCAACCATGGTTTCGTTTCGTGCAAACGGATTTCGCCCATCCATAGCGTTGCTACCAAATTCAATTCCAAAAGCTGAACGAAGGGATCGTCAGGTAAAGGACCTTTGGTCAGCCTGCTAGAAAATAGGCAGACTATATATGGGGGTAGCAAACATGGGGTCAAACCACATGGGGAAAATATATGGTTTCCCTCGTGGAATTTTGTCTTTTTACGGTTGGACCCCCCAAAATGGCGAAAAGTTGTCCTTGTTGGTTTCCCTAAGCCACCGAACACGGGTACCTCAAAAACGAACCACACCCGTCTGGGAGTTTCTCAGGGCGAAACCACTAACTTGCGGTTGGCGTTTTGGGACGCCAGAAGAAAACCGAAAGCGTTTTGGGGGACCGCTACTTTTAGAAACACAGGGTGAAAGTACATGGCGCAATTCTTTTATGTGTGCAAAAGGGCTGACTAGATCAACAGCCTCGGGAATGTCTTCCAACTTTTGCACAACTGATAGGATAAACCAGCCCTTTCAACCACCTTTAAACCAGGATACCTTGGAGGATGTCGAAATTGGAACCCCTGCAGACTACATAGTTTGCTTGTGTCACGCATTTTAAAAGACGTCATCTACCCTCAAAAAGGGGCACCCAGCCAAAGTCTGACAAGGTCACCGGCCATCCAAAGTGCTGTAGAACGAAATCCTACTCGATTCCCCGGTAAATGCCAACAATGGTTTCCCTTGGTTTCAACGTGGTGCGAAATGGACTTCGTCCCTCCAGACACAAAAAAGGGGGTCCCCACAAAGTGTTTTATGCTTCTGGTTTTCTTCTTTACCACCGAAAAAGGGGCGTCCCCGAAAAGACACCCCCGCAAAATTGTGTTTTTCCTGTTGGCTTTCTTCTTTACCGCCAAAAAAGCACACAAACACTTTGTGGAAAAGAAGAAAGCCATAAGTTTTCTTTACCTGAGCACAGGTCTTTGCTTTATTATGTCGTTTCTTCTTTTTCTTCTTGGTTGATTCAAATGTTTAACAACAACCATGTAAGGGGGAGTCGTTCCTGAGGTGTGTTTCATGGTTTCAAAGGGACACCAAAGGGAAACTACCTTCTTTCTTCCTTTTTTGTGGGGGGGAGTCCTCTGAAAAAGATAAGCCCGAACCAGTGTCTTTACTCAGTTGCTCCAAAGGACCCAGACATAAAAGGTTGACCTTTTTTTCTGGCCTCCACTAAAAATGGGCCAAAACTGGAAACCAAAAGGTCCAAAGGTCGGCTTTGAACCACTGAGACAAAAGAAAGTGGATTGCCATCTTTTAACATATAGCCTATGTTACCCAACAAGTTGAGAAAAGTTGTGTTTTGTAAGAGGTAAGCCAGCGTCTTTCCCTTTCTTCGCTTCCCTTCTGGCGCGGGGAAATTTTCCGGGCTCCCCCGCTGCTCCGAGGCCAGCACCGCCTCCTCCCGGGTCTGCTTCCACTCGAAACAGCCCACCCCTTCCACGCGGTCCCCCACCATGAGCTGCACCGTCACCGTGTCCTCCGGGGGCTGCGATACAGAAGATACGTCTCCCCCCCTGCGCCAAATAGATCTGGAGTTCTTGTTTTTTCTCGTGTGCACCCTTTTGTCCCCAGATAGCTGAAGGCTATAGGGGGTCTAACTTCTAACAAAGAGGGAAATGCACCGTTTGTTTTTTGTTTTTGTTTTTTTTTTTTGGGGGGGGGGTGTTTTGGGTATTTTTGGGAAAACCTGGTTTTGCAGAATACTACTTTCTTCTTGTAAGGATCCTTACATTCACCTGAACATTGCCTTGTAAATGGAGGTGTCCCTTCATTTTGGCGGAAAAAGCCATGCTTCAAATGGGCAAAATGTATCTCTTAAGGAGCCCTACTCCGAAGACCCGTTTTTTAAGGGCATTGGTTGGAAAACCGGGTTTTCCACGGTAAATACCTCCTGTTTTAGTAGAGGATGGCCCTTAGGATTATGCAGCTGGCTAGGCATGGCAAGAAGCCCATCCCCACACTGAAACTGCTTGGAAGGGACCGTTTTGACTCGGTTCACATTCATAGACCCAATCTTGAAGCTAACCATCCTCACAAAGCCAGTTCTCCAAGAGGCTCCTAAACATAAACGAATTCCCACACCCAAGCCCTTATCCATCTCATGGAACAAATATGTGCCTATCTTTATAGAGATATAGATATTCAAAACACTATGTAAATTGACACGGTTCCGGTTCCGATCCAACTCTGAGTGGACAATAGTTGCCGAGGTTTCCCCCAGAAAAAAAGAGAAAATTGGCACCCGGAGGATTGGAGCGTCGATCCCGCCACAACCAGACTGCCAGACTGCCGATCTTGTCAGCAACTTATGTGGAGAAGAGCGTCCGAGAAGGCAACCACCAACCACCTCTTAAAACCACAAAGTCCATGTTTTGAGGACCCCCCCCCACACCCATACACATGTGTTTCGACTACAGCTACGCTGACAAAGAGCAACATCGATGTACCGAAGCCGGTTTCCACGTCTTGCGTTGCCACGGCCTATGCCTCCTACGCCACACCAACACACAAACACACAAACACACAAACACACTTGCACTGAGACTTACACACAAACACACTTTCACACAAACATACACACACACAGACACACAACCATAGACACCCCCTACACCCAGCACGAATGTTCCGGTCCTGGGCGTGGTCCAAGAAGATGAGGTTGGGACTCTGCAGCTTCGTGATCTTCACCGCAGAGATCTTCACGTGTTTCTCCTCGATCCCCGCTCGCAGGGCTGGACATGGCTCCAGGCCCCCTTGCTATATATATATATATAATATATATATATATAGTATGTTCCCACAAAAAAGGGCAGATACCACCGCAAAAACTGGCGAATCCGTCAACAAGGTAGGTCCCTCGGCAGAAACTACCGCAAAAACCGGTGAATCCGTCGAAAAGGTAGGTCCCTCGAATGGAGGGGGAGGGGGGGTACCATTGTCGTTGTAGTGCTTTTTCCATTACACCTGGGAAAACCATGTACATTGGAGATGTGGACCCTTCGCGACAGACCCCCGAACGGTTGAGGCCGTGTTTGTCAGCTGGCTTTGTGTTGGTGCACGCCGGGGTTGAATTTTCATCCAACCAGGGGGGGCAAGTTTGACAGGGACTCCCAGCGCGCACTCGTGGCTTTATTTTGCCTTGGCCCAAATTTACAAACAAGCTTACTAGCCAACCCTTGGAAAATGGTTGAGAGCTTCCTTCCTGGCGACTCACCAGAGAATGTCGTGTGCCCTCGCAAACACGATCTCATCAACATTTCAACATAGATTGACAGACAATTTCCTCAGGGCTCCAAACTACAGCATTAGCTGGAATGTGGTTCCAGCCATTTAGGTGATTCCCAAATGAGGTACAACAAGCCCGAAAGAAGGTTCCCCCCAAAGGAAAACACTCCAGTTTGTATCACAGGAGTTGAAGCAGGTTGCGCTTATGGAGCTCTTTGGGGACGAGGTTTGAGCACCTGGAAGCTTCACACAATCCAGTACTCAGTGCGTGCGCCTTTGTGTTGAACTGGATCCTCTCAAAGACTTCCTAAATATATTTTGCTTGGGTCTTCCGACGTTGGTATGTACAACGTGAGCAGTGTCGCATGCTTCTAACAAAATGGCTATAGCTTTAACGTTGGCCAGACTATTATCCCACTTCAACGGGTAGGGCGTGCTTAAATTGCGAATGTGGGCAATTTGCGCACCTTGCTCATGCCATGACCAAGCCCAAGACAAAATGGTTTGATCCGAGCCTCGTTCGTGTTGATCTTCGGAAAATGCGCCGGGCCAAAGCCCGGGCAAATGAAGGCTTTCTTTAAAAACAAGTGAGGGCAAACAGACCGGAACACAACATGGCCCTTAGATCTTTGGCCCAAATCCGGTGGATCAGTCGTATTGATTGTCATAGTACCCCTTGATAGGCACTCGTTCTTGGATGTTCAACCCTAGCATGTTAGGGCCCCTTTACTTTTAGATACGCATAAACGACAGTTGTAAAGGATTAGACGCACACAGAACTCAGCGCCGTCTGTATTCAAGCACTACAACCTGAACAGGATGCCAACTGTTGATGGAAAAGAACGATGCACCAGTTGGTAGGCGGTTTAATTACTTGCTTTCAGTGGGCCTCATTGATCCCAACTGATGCAGAGCTTTGCCCATCCACAGTACGTAGGGGATGGTATGTGCCATCTAGGGATTCGGACCCCCCAAAATGGTGGCGTTCCTTAGCTTTAACCTGGAAACATACAGTGGGTGTCCGTTTGGTAAAATAGATGGATTTCCCTTATACATGGGTACTAAAACCAACCATTTTGCAGTGGAACCCATCGATTTCCAAGCAAACTAACCAATCAAACCGACTTGCCTCCTTGAAACCGACCTTGTCCTTTGGGTATGAACATGTTCCAAATAGAAATTCGGACCCCCAAAATGGCGGCTTTCCGTTGGCTTCCCTTGCAACCCGACCCTTACCTTTGGGCACCCAAACAAAGTGAACAGCAGCCCCAGTCCTGCCGGGCCTTGCGCTTCTTGCCCTTGCGGTTTTTGCGGCTCTTCGCCTCCGACAAGAACAATTCACAAAGCTGAAACGACCAGAATGGAGGGATCCTCTGAATGCGTGGAGCGACCGGGGCTGTCCGGTTTCTGATCTGCGGAAGCCCAACTACGAAACCAACTAAAAACAACTAAGATTCCTATATAACAACTAAGATTCCTATATAAGGGACCGGACGGCTGGGAACCGGCAACACAAGGGGTATGATCCCAATCCCAATCCAAAAGACAGCAGGGGAATGATTGCCATTCGGGGCATCAACGATTAACCCAGCGAAGCGTTGTACATACAAAAACCCAGCCGGTTGGAGAACCTCCTTTTCTTTCTTTTTTTTTGTGGGGGGGTTGGTGCCAAAATTGACCGTCTCCTTGACAGGTTTCTCGCATAAATAGGGATTTCCTTGGATCACAAATGAGCTCAAACCCTATGTCCCCCAACCAGGTTCAACTTTAACTAGGTCCTCCAGAAGAGAGGTTAGAATAAGGGTACCCTTTTTTGCTGCAGTCTATTTTAGTACCCTCCCACAAAAAAGGGGTAAAAGGGCACTACTGGGGGACCTAGTTTTGGTGGTTGACAAGGGAAACCAAAATTCAAAAGGAACACCGAAGCCAGTTTGGGGGTCCAGCCACCAAAAAAGGCAGAGCTGTTTGTACTGTCCATGTTCTGATCCCCAGCCAAGCTTGAAACTTGTGGGTAAAAATCGGACCACCCACTAAACCAACCAGAAGACCTAAAACCCAAAGCAACCAGACTGGGAACCACCTTACATAAAAAACACCTGAACATGGCAACTTGTAATTGGTGGTGTCAACCTGTATTTCGGTCTTGAAAAAGCCACATGCAACTCACATGGTTTTGCAACATGGAGATCTTTTGAGGAGCAGAAGTGCTCAACCACCAATTGTTGCCCCGGTCGCCGCCTTGCCCTCGCTGACCGCCGCTTTCTCGGGATCGCTCTCCGCGCCGCTCTCGGCCTCACTGGCCGCGTTGCTCTGCGTCTCCGACGCCCCGTCCTCGGCCGGACGCGGCTCGGGCGCGGCTCGGACGCCCGCGGCCGAGAATACCGGGACACGGTTCGGTGGCAAAGGTCCTAGGGGTACCTTTTACTTTGACTTTTTCCGGATCTTCCAAAGTTCGAAGATGTCAATTACTCACTTCTTGAGTGGGTTGGGCCAGAAAAAGTAGCCATTGCCACTGAAATGTCCATTCATCCGGGAGTACCTTCCATGTCCATTCTTTGCAGATATATCCGGATCTGTCTGGAAAATATCTGAAAACCCCAGGAAAAAAGGTTGGTTTTTGAACAAACAATGGTTGAACAGAATGGGGAATCGGCCCCTAGAATTTTGTCGGGCCTGAACGCCGAGCAAATGCAAAAATCGAGCGAAAACAAAGCCTAGGTGGATCCGATTTCCTGTGTAGTAGGTAGGTAACCAAGGAATTGCCACCCTTCCAAAACCAAAGGGAAAACAGCTGGTTACCTACTAAGGGCAACCGGAATATGCTGGGCAGGACAACGAAGAAGGATGTGGTACAAACAAAAAGGCAAAATAGCTGGTGACCTAAGAGGGTTTTCCCTGGATCCACTAAGGACAACCAAAGAAAAGGTCAAACCAAGTCCGGCAAGGCATCGTCGCCGCCTCCTGCAGCTTCCTCCTGGCGCGCCAGAAGGTCAGTTTCTGCAGTCCGGGGGCGCTTTGGCTTTGGCGTCGATCAGAGTGGCCATGGGGCATAACCTATGGCTCAATTTTGGGGTGGATGAATATCCATTTGCCACCTATGTTGATGTTCACCAGGGGCACAGGGTTTTGCCCCACAGCCAAGTTGCTGCAAACAAAAACATGCCTTGATGTCTTGGGCTATGCCATGGACACACATCGGGACTAGTTACTTAGTTGAGAGTCGAAACCTGGTTGACCGAGTTACAACAGAAAGAGCCGTGCTGCTGGTTTCCGCCAAATGTTTTGAGAAAGTTGTGTGTGCGAGGTGTGAGAAAGAGCATGGGGACATCCGGAAGCCCTTCGAATTGATCGGCTCAGCTTAAGGCGTTACATCATCTCTAGAGACCAGGTCACATATTTACCAAATTGAGATTCATTCAACCCTCCACCTCCACCACCAGGATCATATACAACCCAATAGCTCGAGGGATGGCGAATTTGCATAATGTTTGGATTGCCAATCCCCACAATCCCGTGCCAGGGGGGTTTGAATGGACCTTGATCGAGAAGCACCCAACACTTTTTTTGACTCGTGGTTCTAAGACGGTCACAATGGCGCAATCGTATATATATAGTATTGTTTCCCTTGTATTTTGTGGGGCTTTATCAATATTCCAGGCCCCAAAATGACCATGGGTAACTTCTGCCATTTAAGCGTACTTGAAGGGTCAGGTTCCATGTGAGTGGAGAGGGTACCTTGCATGCTAGTGAACATGAGGCGATTTGTGTACAGGGTATCTAAATTGCTGAAGAACATGGTGGTATTGCACATGCCAAGATGCAAGGTTCTAGGTCCAGGCAATCGCTCGATATACGGACCTATCTGGTGGATTCGGAAGGTCTTGCCCCGAAGCAAGTTTCTTGGGATGCCATTTCTCTAACTCACGACCTGAATAGATGGGCCAGAAACAGCAACCAAACTTTTCTTGTTTACCACTGAAATGGTCTTGCAAAATTTGTTAGAGTCCAGGAACTCAGGGAGTGAGCTTAAATGGGACACCGATTGATCAGCTTGGTTTATGATTGCCGCAATACGGCAACCCTTTCCGCTCGCGCCAGTGCCAAAATGGAGCTTGCAACCAATCCAATTCTCCAGACAAAAGCCCACCACAAAGGGGACCCCGTAGGCAAATTCAAAGGGCTAAGAATTGGCAAACAGGACGAAGCAACAGGCACTAAGTAGGACGGCCACTTTCACCCAACTGCAAAGTTCAAAAGGCAAACCCTACCTCCAAAAAAAGAATCAAAAAGGCCGCGCCTGATAGTCTTCCAAGAGCTCCGGGCGAGGGTGCGCTCGGCCCTTGGCCCGCAGTGCCGTCATGCCTCGGCTTCAAGGCTTGGCAACAAGGAGCAATAATCCACCTGGATTCCCCAAACAATACCCTCAAACATGGCTGGGTTGCTTTCTGCTCCCCTGCTAAAAGTTTAACTGTTAGTGGTTTAATGGAAACCCCATTATTTGGCAAAAAGTTCGAAGTCCTAACATCCAAGCAAAATGCAACAAAGATGGGACATGGGACATCTACCCTCAAAATACCCTCAAAAACGGGACATCCCCCAATATTGCATGGTAGTTCGAGGCTCCATGCATTCCCTGTTGATTCAACAAAACAAGATCCCACTGAATTTCAGGACGATGTATGCCGCACGTTTCCTGAAGCTCAGGGAAATCCTCCTGGTAGGGGGGTTTACATGGATGTGAGGCAGGCAACGCAGCAGAATTGCACCTGCCGTGTTTTGATTCACAAGTGAATTCAACTTCTCTCCAATAAGCATTCAGAGCTATAGCAAAGATGACCTTCATTAGTTGATCACTTATAGCCACCAGGCACGAAGAGTCATGAGGCTGCTATGTGTTCTCTTGATGTGTCTACCAATTCGTGTACGAGTATCCCCATCAGGTCCCAACTTCCAAAGCTGCACCGTTCCTGTGATTCACTTGGTTGACGTTGGGTTAGGGGAGCAAAAATTGAAGAAACAAAAAGAGTTAAGTGGTTGGATTTCAACCACTAAACCACAATAAGCAAAAATGATTCAAATGTTTCCCAAGAACAACTATGTGATGGTCCCTTCATTTGACTCGGCCGCCCATTTCCCGAAGTCAGCTTTTGTCTCAGGGCTTATGTTTCTTGGGAGTAGATAACCCTCCGATATCCCCCCATGCAAAACATGGGTATATAGCGGGCGTAGGGGTGCCTACTCCAAATGTCAACCGCCTGCATTTCGCCAATGTGAGGCGGCGTTTCTACCCCTCCATGCGCTGCTTGGCACAGGGGCTAGGGAAATGAGAGACCCATTGCGAAGCCCCCGGTTATGTCAGATTCCTCAAAATAGGTTTGTATGATTGACCAATTGAGCTTGTATCTTGAAAGGGACCAGGGAAACTGTCGCTTCGCTTTCCAGGATTAAGCAAAGCGGCTTGCGTCATCTGTTTGCAAATGAATGAACCGTGCGCCCAATGGCATGTAGGTATTGTTAAAGGGATTCCCAATGCCCCCCGTTCGCATAGCCCTGGGGATAAATGACCGTAGCCACGGCGTGCTCTTGTTCATGCCATATCCTCGCTGATACGCCAATACGGCCTGTCACCCACGACACCAACCAACGGGTGATATGGGTGGCTCGTCCTTTTTGGAGTTGGTACCTTTTTGTGCTAGGTTTCAATTGGACCATCTAAAGCCCGGAATGGTTTGATTCCTCTGCAAATACCAAACAATGGTGTCAACCACGGCTTCATTTTGGTGCAGGATTTCGTCCATCCACAGTAGGTCCCATCAAATCAAGCCAAAAAGGGTCCTTCCTTCTTGTTGGTACCCTTTTTGAGGCCAAAAAACCACAAGGACGCCAAAACGAAACCACATGTTTTTCCGGGTTCCTCTAGGCAAACTCCAAACCGGAGGTCCATCTGTGACGAAAGCCCTTCGAACCGTGCTTTCGAGTCGAGTGGCGATCGGAGTTCAAGTACAGCTGGAAGCTTCCCAGCTCCTCCGAAGTTGGATCGGACAAGAATCAAGGCTGATTGCCCCCCCAATGCTCCCGATTTTGGGCGCTCAAACATCTACGTTTTGAGACCCAAAACCCCTCTGGAGTGTCCAATGGAGCGACCGGGTGGCCATTATATGAACCATGGCCATGTTGGAGCCTTTAAACGCTGGAAAACAAAAAACCATATTTGGGCCACAATGAACTGTTAAGTAACCCATAAACTAGGAGTTCATACCAGTTCACATGTGGATGCGTACATTCAGCCTATTAGAAAGAAACACAAAACCCGTTTTTTGTTTTTGTGTTTGTTTTTTTGGGGCTTTTTTTTTCCCCGCCTCTTAGCTTATACATGTGGGTTTGTCTGAAGATTGGGAGCTCCAACAAAATGGTTGGCTTCCTTTTGGTGGGCCGGCCCTTTTAAAGTCCCACGGTTTCTTTAGGGACTCCAACATCACCGCCAGTTGCAAGCAATGTCCCGAGGTCTCTCTCTCCGGATGCATCGTCCTGCTTTCTCAAGATCACGGCACGCAGCTCGGCCACCAGCCTCACCTCCTCGGGCACGGGGGCGGGCGGCCGGGGGATGGGGGGGGGAAACAACAAATACAACAAACAGGAGGGACACTTACAGAGCTTCACAATCCGGTATGTTCTACAGTCCTCCCCATTCTTTCCAGGGATCATTACTTCTAGAAACCTTCGGAAACCCAAGAAATACGGCCGGGTAAAAATACGGGCCATTTTTCCTTTTCTTGTTTTTTTTTCCTGTGGTCTTTTTTAGGGGAACCCTCCCCCAAAAAAAGGAGAGAGAAGGCCTACTGGGGACTTGTAGGTCTGGGGTTGATTCCTTGTCCATTCTTTTCAGCCTCGTACTTTTCCAAAACGGATCGCCATTTCCAATGGGTTTCTAGAAAGATTTGGATCCCTGGAAAGATGGGGAAGTTACCCCAGAGAAAAAGGCGGGACACCACAGAGCTTCACAACCTTTGGTATGGTAGCAAAAAAAACACAGATTTTTGCGGCCCTATGAAAAGTGAACAGAACCTTGCTTTGCCTGTGATTTTGTTTTGGAAGAACCCAGGCATCCATGTCTTGGTTGACGTTGGAAGGGGAGCATTGTTTTTTTAGCAGTTAAGTGGTTGGATTTCAACCACTAAACCACCATAAGCAAAAATGTAAAATGTAAATCCCAACAACAACCATGATGTACCTGGATGTCTTTTGGAAGAACCGCAGGCATCCATGTATCTTCAAAGTGCTCACTGACATCCGTCATGCGGACATGCCACTCCGCCAAAGCAAGATAGTTTTCGCTTGTTCAGGGGTGCTGGAATTGAGGCAACCTGCGACCTGCACGTTAGAAGCGAGCAAAACTCAGCACAAAGCCACTCTTGAAGCACAAAGCCATGATTCAAGTTGACCAGCCCTTCACCCGACCAACGGCATTGGCTACCCTCCATGGAACCTGAAAGACCGGCCCCTTAAAGGCGAACAGGCCGGAAGTGAATTGCTATGAATCCAATTCCAGCACACCTTGTGAGCATACTCCAAACCTTCATAGGGGGTCTATGCTTCACAAGGTATGCTGGACAGTTCTTGGAATGACGAGGCGCTCCCTGAGCGTTTCTCATATTCTGGCAACTTCACTCTTATGGACTTTTTGCGGTGTCAGGGTGTTCTCCCTGGACAAGCCTAAGCCATGATAGGTGTGCAAGGGTCACGTTTCCAATGCCAGCCGAGCTGACCGACTGACTGAAATTGACGTGGGGGTGGTTGGTGGGGATGGATACGAGTCAAAATTAGGCTTTCTTGAGGTCGGGGTACCCTCATTAAAAAACAAAAAACCACTTATGCTGCTACCTTGGTAGCAGAAGGGTACAGTAAATTTGGAGAGTCCCCTGGCAAAACACTTTGAGAATGCAGTGAGTCCCCCATGTCCCTCCCGTGTCGTTCCCAAATGAACTGTAGCCCGCTGGGACGTGTTGACCAAACCGAACCTCAATTGGGTGTCTTTTTGAAATTTCCCTTTGTTCGTGGTTACAACACAAAGGAATACCGTCATTTTATCTTTCTTTTTTTTGGGGGGGGGCTCCCCTTAAAAAGGACAAACCCAACTTTCTCAGAGGCTTCATCTGGAACAACAAAACATGAACCGCACGCAAGGATGAGCTCCGTCCTTGCAAAGGATGATGTCCACGTTCTCAGTGCGCATGAGCTCTTCGCTGGTCACCAAATTCCAAAGGATCCAAGAACTGGTCCTGCCGGGGCCGGGGGGACTTTCCTTGGATTCCTTTCGCACCTCCTCAGATGCCCATGGAAGTTTTCCATGGCCAAAAACGGCATCCGTTTTTTGTTGGTGGAGTCGAGAGGGGAACCCAAAACCCCCAAAAAGCAACAACTCTGTTGCCCAAAGGACCCAGAAATAAAAGGTTAACCCTTTGGGGCCTCCACTAAAAATGGACCAAAACTGGAAAACCAGTTTTGGTAAAAAGGTCGGTTTTGAACAACTGAGACAAAAGAAAGTGGATTGCAATCGCTTCCTGTCTACCAACCCCTCAGTTGCTACTTGCTTACCTGACCGGAAATCCGGTCAGCAGGTGGGCCCAAACCAAATTTGAGCCTCGTGACCGAGACCAAAGCCGTCCTGCCAATGGGCATGCCGATGCGATTGCACACCTCGACGAAGGCGTCGAACCACATGCCTGCTATGCAATCCCGGCTTCAGATGCCAAAATAAGTTGTCCTTTTAGATTTCCCTTCAACCAAGCCAATGAGAGCCCCAAAACAACTCACAAACACGCAGAGATTGGTTTTGGGGGTCCTCAAAACGCCCGAGTATGGAAAGGTTCGGGTTTCATGAAAAAGCATCAAATCGTGTGTGTTTGCAGGCCCTAAAACATGATTTTGCTGCCCCCTGCCCCCCCCCCCCCCTTCCAAAAGTATCCGAAAACGCCTCAACCCCTGGTCAACCTGCCAAAAGCCACGTTTTTTAATAGGCCCGGAACTAGATAAAACAACACGCACGCCAAAAAACCTGCCACATCAGTCCAGCGAAGCGGCCCTTGCCGCGGTGGTACATGCCCTTGTCAAAGCGCGACCACACGTTGCCCGTGAGCCCGTTCATGTACTGCCGCTCCCCCACTTGCCTCGATTTTGTATCCTAGAGGCTCCCATTCGATTGATTGAGGTCCCTCAAACAGCCAGGTTTTGAGACAACCACCTCCGGGGTGTCTAATGGCGAAGTCGTGTTGCAACATGAAACGTACTTAAAGCGGCGATCGGGCACTTAAGTTGGTGAGATAACCCACAAAAGCCATGGTAAGTCCCTTAAGTGGGTTGTAAACAGGCTTACTAACCACTAAGTACCCTGCCCCTTTAAGTAGGCTACAAAAAGAGAACCAACAGGAACCTACTCCCATCCTCGCCAACTTTCACCCCTGCCCCCACCGGCGGGTTTCGCCATTTTGAGACCAGCACACCACGAAACTCATGTTAGGCCAAAGATCCACTAAAAGAGGGTCTCCGCTCCTGTCTATTCGTTTCCGCTCCTGTCTATTCCTTTTCATTCCCAGAAAAAAAGAAAAAAAAGGGGGGGGAAAAAAACGACAGCCGCCAGTTCCGTGCAACGTCAGTCGCTGGAGGCAGACGCTGCCCATGAAGATCTCGGTGGTCTTGGACACAGCGTTCGCGATGAGATCCCCAGACATGGTCTTCCAAGCCTCAGACGACTCAGCCAAAGCCCCTGAACATAGGCTAGGTCCTCCAGATTTGAGAGGTTCGAATAAGTTGGTGCCAGCTCTGAATAGGTCCCTCAACAATGAAACATGTCATCATTTTTGCCCAACCCCCTGGGGCGCTACTATAAGCTAGAACAGCCCAATTGAAATCAATACCAGACTATCGATGTCTCCCACCAACCTCTCTTCCCGTCTTACTGGGGTCTCCCCGCCAGTTGGTCGCTAAACACCCCCGTATTGAAAACAACAAACATGGTTGCGGCTCCCCACCAGAAGTCGAACCAAAAAACCATAGACTGGACTCCCCAACCTGGAACTTCTCCTGTTTTTAGAGGACTTGTAATCTGTTCTTTTACATTTATTGGGGGGGAGGAAGGGGGGGATGTTGACTTGGAACTGGATACCCCAACAGTCAAATTTTGTTTTGGTCCATCGGGCTAGACTTTTCTGTGTTTTTATTAATTTGCGGGGGGGGGGGATGTTGTCTTTTTTTAAGGGGCAACGAGCAACGGATTCTTCATGCATCCCACAGCCCCGCTTCGAGCATGGAGCCAGGTCCTCCTCCTCGGAGATATAGCGCCAACGGTCCACCTCCCGGTCGGTGACGCGGAAGAGCCGCTTCTGCGCCACCTTCTCCTGCAGGGATCCTAACCTATTATATACACCTGAACATTGCCTTGTAAATGGAGGTGTCCCTTCATTTTGGCGGAAAAAGCCATGCTTCAAATGGCCAAAATGTGTCTTTTAAGGAGCCTTCTCCTGGCGGATGGAATCCCATGCGGTGGAAGCATATAGTTAGAGCCCATTTCGGGTACCCAGGGTTTTTTGGGGATCCGAAAATGAGGTACAAGGGTGGCAAGTGGGTAGTTGAGAGCTCATTGGGGAGGTTTAGGGATCCCATTGGGAAGTTCGAGGGGTTCCTCTGGGTTCCCTAGAGTTTCTTGGGAAGGTCCATTCGGACATTTAGGTGCGAGGGTGGGTTGAGAGCCCGCCAGGGTTCTTTGCATTTTTTTGGGGGGAGGTTTAGGGACCCCCCTGGACCACCCCGCCTTCAGGGATTCCATAACTGGCGAAAAAGAGGCGGGGCCGGCCTCAGAAACTTCAAAATTTAACTATTTTCCTCCGAAACCGCCCAATTCCCCTTTGGGATGCCAACACCGAATGGACACCAGA